TGCTGTGGTTAAGGGATTTGCATATTTGTGTAATTTTGGTAGATGTTGCCAGAATACCCTCTGGAGATGTATATCAGCTTTTGTACTCCTATCAGCAAAGTGTGACCCAAGTGAAGAATGGGTAGGAGATGGGTGAAGTTGAGGTTGGGTCAGGTTTATGAGTATGAGGGGGACTAAAAGTGGTTATGTATTATTGAAGCGTGAAGTGCTGGGTAAAGAGTAGCAGGAAAAGAGTGGGAAGGAGACAGGGGCCAGGTCCCTTTGCCTTGTGTTGTTTTTGTTTGTTTGATAGCCTCTCACTCTGTCGCCCAGGCTGGAGTGGCGCAATCTCAGCCCACTGCAACCTCCGCCTCCTGGGTTCAAGCGATTCTCCTGCGTCAGCCTCCCGAGTACAGGCATGCGCCACCACACCTGGCTAATTTTTGTGTTTCTGGTAGAGACGGAATTTCACCATGTTGCTCAGGCTGGTGTCGAACTCCTGGGCTCAAGTGATCCACCCACTTTGGCCTCCCAAAGTGCTGGGACTACAGGCGTGAGCCACTGCGCCCTGCCCGCCTTTGTTTTTATACTTGGATTTTTTTTTTTTTTTTTTTAGCTTTTAAGTTGAGGTGCAGATTTGTTACATAGGTAAACTTGTGTCATGGAGGTTTGTTGTACAGATTATTTCCTCACCCAGGTATTAGCCTAGTTCCTGTTAGTTATTTTTCCTGATCCTCTCCCTCCTCCCACCCTCCACCTTCCCATAGGCTCCGCTCTGGTGTGTTTTGTTCCCGTCTTATATGTCTGTGTGTTCTCATCATGTAGCTTCTACTTGTAAGTGAAAACATGCAGTACTTGCGTTTCTTTTCCCATGTTAGTTTGCTGAGGATAATGGCCTCCAGCTCCATCCATGTCCCTGCTGCAAAGGACGTGATCTTTTTCTTTTTTATGGCTGCATTTATAAGACAAGAGGGGTTTATTTAAACTTCTGTTATCAGAAGTAGGAAATTGGGATCCTATTAGGGCTTAACTTAATTGGTTTGACTTCAGCTTTTTAGCTTGGAGGCTGCTGAAGAGTTAATTTATTGTATGAGAGTTTGGTCGTATGTGGAGCACAAACTTACTTTTTTTTTTTAAATTAGTTTATTTATTTATTTTGAGATGGAGTCTCACTCTGTCGTCCAGGCTGGAGTGCAGTGGCACGATCTCGGCTCACTGTAAACTCTGCCTCCCGGGTTCACGCCATTCTTCTGCCTCAGCCTCCTGAGTAGCTGGGACTACAGGCACCCGCCACCATGCTTGGCTAATTTTTTGTATTTTTAGTAGAGATGGCGTTTCACCGTGTTAGCCAGGATGGTCTCGTTCTCCTGACCTCGTGATCCACCCCCCTCGGCCTCCCAAAGTGCTGGGATTACAGGTGTGAGCCACCGCGCCTGGTCACATTTTCTTAATCTAGTCTATCATTGATGGACATTTGGGTTGGTTCCAAGTCTTTGCTATTGTGAATAGTGCTGCAATAAACATACCTGTGCATATGTCTTTATAGTTGGATGATATATAATCCTTTGTGGGTATATACCCAGTAATGGAATCACTGAGTCAAATGGTATTTCTAGTTCTAGATCCTTGAGGAATCGCCACACTGTCTTCCACAAGGTTGAACTAGTTTACACTCCCACCAACAGTGTAAAAGCGTTCCTGTTTCTCCACATCCTCTCCAGCATCTGTCGTTTCCTGACTTTTTAATGATCGCTGTTCTAACTGGTGTGAGATGATATCTCATTGTGGTTTTGATTTGCATTTCTCTAATGACCAGTGATGATGAGCATTTTTTCATGTATCTGTTGGCTGCATAAATGTCTTCTTTTGAAAAGTGTCTGTTCCCATCCTTCGCCCACGTTTTGATGGGGTTGTTTGCTTTTTTCCTTATAAATTTGTTTAAGTTCTTTGTAACAGATTCTGGATATATTAGCCCTTTGTCAGATGAGTAGATTGCAGAAATTTTCTCCCATTCTGTAGGTTGCCTGTTCACTCTGATGGTAGTTTCTTTTGCTCTGCAGAAGCTCTTTAGTTTAATTAGATCCCATTTGTCAATTTTGGCTTTTGTTGCCATTGCTTTTGGTGTTTTAGTCATGAAGTCCTTGCCCATACCTATGTCCTGAATGGTATTGCCTAGGTTTTCTCCTAGGGTTTTTATGGTTTTAGGTCTAACATTTAAGTCTTTAATTCGTCTTGAATTAGTTTTTGTGTAAGGTGTAAGGAAGGGATCCAGTTTCAGCTTTCTACATGTTGCTAGCCGGTTTTCCCAGCACCATTTATTAAATAGGGAATCCTTTCCCCATTTCTTGTTTTTGTCAGTTTTGTCGAAGATCAGATGGTTGTAGATGTCTGGTGTTGTTTCTGAGGCCTCTGTTCTTTTCCATTGGCCTATATATCTGTTTTGGTACCAGTACCACACTGTTTGAACAAAACTCTTAAAAAAAAAAGAAAAAGGTTTATGTAAAGAGAAAAGTAACAGAAAAAAGACTGTCTTTTAAAAAGGATTACAGATGTGAGCCATCACGCCCGGCCATAAACTTTTTATTAAACAGACAAAATGCATAAATCATAAATGTACAACTCAGTGAATTTTCACAAAATGATCATATCTTTGTAGCTACTATGTATGCAGTTCAAGAAATAAAACATTAGGGCATGGTGGTGCATGCCTGTAGTCCCAGCTACTCAGGAGGCTGAGGTAGGAAGATCACTTGAGCCCAGGAGTTCTGAGGATGCAGTGAGCCATGATCATGCCACTGCACTCCAGTTTGGGCTATGGAGCAAGACCCTGTCTCAAGAAAAAGAAGGCTGGGCACAGTGGTTTACGCCTGTAATCCCAGCACTTTGGGAGGCCAAGGCAGGCAGATCACTTGAGGTCAGGAGTTTGAGACCAGCCAGGCCAACATGTGAAACCCTGTCTCTACTAAAAATACAAAGATTAGCTGGGCGTGGTGGCGTGCACCTGTAGTTCCAGCTACTTGGGAGACTGAGGCGGGAGAATCGCTTGAACCCAGGAGGGGGAGGTTGCAGTGAGCTGAGATCACGCCACCGCGCTCCAGCCCAGCGACAGAGCGGGACTCTGTCTCAAAAAACAAAAATTAGCTGGGCATGGTGGTGTGCACCTGTTAATCCCAGCCTCTCGGGAGGCTGAGGTAGGAGAACCCTTTGAACCTGGGAGGCAAATGTTGCAGCGAACCAAGATCGGGCCACTGCACTCCAGCCTGGGCGACAGAGTGAGACTCCCTCTCAACAAAAAAAGAAAGTAAAAGAATATGTTAGCAGCAACTATTTCAGAAGCCCACCTCCTTACTTGCAAGTCACTGTCCCTCCTTCTTCCAGGGGTAACCACTATCCTAACCTCTATTACCATTCATTAGTTTTGCTTTATTCTTTTTGAACTTTATATAGAGTCATATAATGTGCATTCTTCCATATCTGGCTTCTTTTGCTCAACAGTAATGATACATGTTCTTGTGTTAGTAGTAATAGTCCATTCTCATTTCTGTCTAGAGTTTTATTACAATGATATACCACAGTTGGTCCATTCTGCTGTTGATGTATATTCTAATTGTTTCAGTTTTTGACTATTAGGAATAAAGCCGCAAGGAACATTCTTGTATGTACGTATGCATGTCTTTTTTTTTTTTTTTTTGAGACGGAGTCTCGCTGTGTTGCCCAGCATGGAGTGCAGTGGCACGATCACTGCAAGCTTTGCCTCCCGGGTTCACGCCTTTCTCTTGCCTCAGTGTCCCGAGTAGTTGGGACTACAGGTACCTGCCACCGCCCTGGCTAATTTTTTGTATTTTTAGTAGAGACAGGGTTTTACTGTGTTAGCCAGAATGGTATCTATCTCCTGACTTCGTGATCCACCCGCCTCGGCCTCCCAAAGTGCTGGGATTACAGGTGTGAGCCCCTGTGCCCGGCCATGTATGTATGTATTTTTGTTGGGTGTATGTTTAGGAGTGGGATTGGAAGGACATACAGTATAAATATGTTCAGCTTCAGTAGATGTTGCTACTGTCAAAAAGTTTTCTAGAGTTGTATCAGCCAATGCTTGCATCAGCGGCCTGTGAGAATTCCATTTATTATGCATCCTCTCCAGACTAACAACTTGTTGTTGTTAGTATTTAACCTTTTTGAAGAGCCTCTGCTTTGTGAGATAGGTATAAGGCATACAGTCGTGAAGAAAACAGTGCTGCTTTGTAGACCTTAAAATTTTTTTTTTTTTTTTTTTTGAGACAGAGTCTCACTCTGTCTCCCAGGCTGGAGTGCAGTGGCGCGGTCTCAGCTCACTACAACCTTCACCTCTCAGGTTCAAGCGATTCTCCTGCCTCAGCCTCCCAGTTACAGCTGGGATTACAGGCACCCACCATCACGCCCAGCTAATTTTTGTATTTTTTATTAGAGATGGGATTTCACCATGTTGGCCAGGCTGGTCTCGAACTCCTGACCTTGTTATCTGCCCACCTTGGCCTCCCAAAGTGCCGGGATTACAGGTGTGAGCCACCGTGCCTGGCTAGATTAGGCGGGGCATGGTGGCGGGCGCCTGTAATCCCAGCTACTTGGGAGGGTGAGGCAGGAGAATCGCTTGAACCCAGAAGGCGGAGCTTGCAGTGAGCCAAGATCGCGCCACTGCACTACAGCCTGGGTGACACAGCAAGTCTCTGTCTCAAAAAAACAAAAAAAGTGTGCCACCGACACCAGCCTAGGTGACGGAAAACACGTGTCCTTGGCCAAATAGTGGTATCCTGCTCAATGAAGGATAATGTTATTTATGCTATAATATCTATTATTTATTCTATAGTGTTCTGCATTGAGACTATACTTTTTAATTTTTTTAATTATTTTTATTTTTATTTTTATTTTTTATTTTTTTCCAAAGAAGCCCCATTTTATTACAGAGAAAATACAAAGCCGTTTCCTCACAGGGAAGAGTACAGTTTCCCTTCTCCAGGGTGACAGATGAGCCTTTTCTGAAGTTCTCAGCTTTCTCTTCTACCGAAACCTCCCATGTCGGTTAAAGTGTTTGTAGAGATAGCGGATGCGTTTATTAAGGTTGTGCAGGTCATCAGCGAACATTCTACTTCCAACCATTTTCTTCTTTCAGATACAACGTTGCAATTCATTCCCTTTCCAACCTCGAAGCCATATGGGCCCCCTGATCAGTTCTTTGGGGTGCTTTTCAAAGTTTCCCAGGATCCCAATGTTGTCATACACTCCGAACATGGCCCTCTTCTCGTTCCAACGATCAACCACTTTGGGGGGCGGGAGAGTGAGCCTTATACCGATCAATCTCGGCACACCAAGAAAGAAGCTTCTGCACGCCAGAGGCACCCAGTTCCACAGGCGCTTGCCTGCCCCAGATAAGAGGCTCCCTGTCATTTCTCTAGTCTCCCCGCTTCAACAACACACCAAATAAGTCCAGGAGTGAGGGCCAGACGTGGCCCTCAAGATGACGACAGGAACCGTCCCCACCGACTTCACACGAGGGCAGCCATCTTGGGCCTTACCCAGGTAGCCGTTAGTTTTTTATTTTTAATCTGAGACGGAGTCTCACTCTGTCATCCAGCGAGGCTGAGGCAGGTGGGTCAGAGACCTCAACAAGTTCAAGGCCAGTCTGACAAACATGGCAAAACCCTGTCTCTACTAAAAATACAAAATTAGTCAGGCATGGTGGCATGTGCCTGTAATCCCAGCTAATTGGGAGGCTGAGGCAGGAGAATCACTTGAACTCAGGAGGCAGAGGTTGCAGTGAGCCAAGATTGCGCCATTCCACTCCATCCTGGGCCACAAGCGCGAAAATCTATCTCAAAAAAAAAAAAAAGGGAATGTCTTATCATTACTTTCCTAAAATATCTTTCAAAAATTACAGTGTGGAGAAGGCTCATGCCTGTAATGCCAGCCCTTTGGGAGGACAACACAGGAGGATAGTTTGAGACCATCCTGGGCAAAGCAGCAAGAATTCGTCTCTACAAAACATTAAAAAAAATTAGTCAGTAGCGCACCTGTATCCCAGTTACTCAGGAGGGTGAGGCAGGAAGCTAAGCCCAGGAGGTTGAGGCTGGAGTGACCTGTGATCATGTCACTGCCCTGCAGCCTGAGACAGAGCAAGACCCGGCCTCAAAAATATAAAAATAAATTCAAAAAATGAACAACAATTTAAAAACTACAGTGTGAGACGGGCATGGTGGCTCACACCTGTAGTCCCAGCACTTTGGGAGGCCAAGGCAGGCAGATCACCTGAGGTCAGGAGTTGGAGACCAGCCTGGCCAACGTGGTGAAACCCCATCTCTACTAAAAATACAAAAATTAGCTGGGTGTGTGGTGGTGCATGCCTGTAATTCCAGCTACTCAGGAGACTGAGGCAGGAGAATCCCTTGAACCTAGCAGGCGGAGGTTGCAGTGAGCTGAGAGCGCGCCACTGCACTCCAGCCTGAGCAACAGAGTGAGACTCCATCTCAAAATATAAAAATAAAAAACTGGCCAGTCGCGGTGGCTCATTCTTGTAATCCTAGCACTTTGGGAGGCCGAGGCAGGTGGATCACCTGAGGTAGGGTGTTCGAGACCAGCCTGGCCAACCTGGGGACACCCCGTCTCTACTAAAAATACAAGTATCAGCCGGGCATGGTTGCGGGCGCCTGTAATCCCAGCTACTTGGGAGGCTGAGTAACGAGAATTGCTTGATCCTGGGAGGCAGACGTTGTAGTGAGCTGAGATTGTGCCACTGCACTCCAACCTGGGCGACAAGAGCGAGACTCCATCTCAAAAAAATAAATAAATAAATAAATAAATAAATAAATAAATAAATAAAATAAAAAATAAAAAACTATAGCTGGGCATGGTGGCTCACACCTGTAATCCCAGCACTTTGGGAGGCGGAGGTGGGTGGATCACAAGGTTAGGGGTTCGAGACCAGCCTGACCAACATGGTGAAACCCCGTCTCTACTAAAAATACAAAAATTAGCTGGGCATGATAGTGCATGCCTGTAATCCCAGCTACTCAGGAGGCTGGGGCAGGAGAATTGCTTGAACCCAGAAGGCGGAGGTTGCAATGAACTGAGACTGCGCCACTGCACTCCTGCCTGAGTGATAGAGTGAGACTCCATCTCAAAATATAAAAATAAAAAACTATAGCCAGGCGCAGTGGCTCACGCCTGTAATCCCAGACTTCAGGAGGCCGAGGTGGGTAGATCACGAGGTCCAGAGTTCGAGACCAGCCTGACCAACATGGGGAAACCGTGTGCTGGGATTACAGGCGTGAACTACCGCGCCTTGCCAAGACATTCTTTAAAAATGCCTAGCAAATACAGTAAAAAGTAAAAATTCTCTTTCACCTCATCACTGAAAGTTTGTGTATATTTTCACGCTTTTTGGTATACCTTTATACACATCTATAATACTTAAATGCAGTGTTTTTCTAAATGGCATGATACTGTACATAATACTTTGCAGTTTTTATAATTTCCAGTCAGATGGGAAGGCCACAAAACTATTCTAGAAGATCTTTGCTTTAAACAGTAGTAAAGACATTTATCTCTTCTTTTGTTTTAAGTGCCTTGGAACAGATTTTATGAACAACAGCAACATTCAATATTGATTTGCTCAGTGTAAGTAGTGAGATGCCTTTAGTAGTGAGATCACACCTTTCAGAGAACTTTCTACATGCTCTGTAAAAAAAAAAAAGCAGATATGTGATTGACTGACTGCTTCATGATTTTGCCAGGCACCATTCAAATCCTTTTCCCTTTCTCAGAAAGTGCAGTCATCCATTTTGGAGCAGTTAGTTCTTGCAGATCTACCAGTTACCTGTGGTTATAGGAGATGGTGTTTCTCTCTCTGACAGTGGAAAAAGGAGTTAATGAACCTGCGAAGTTCAGTTCTGTAACTAGACAGAGCTGTGCTGGAAATGAAAATAAGTTCTTTCTGTTATTTATGATGTACAGGAAGAAAAGCTTCAGGTAGATCAAGCTCTCCAGGCCTAAATCCATAGAAGCCTTGCCAATTTTCAGCTCATTATTGCCATCAAGGTATTTTGTTGATTATTTCCACTATTGTAAACTAATTCATAGGACAGATTTTTACATTTTGCGTTTTTTTCTTTTTTTTTTGAGACAGTTTTGCTCTGTTGCCCAGGCTGGAGTGCAGTGGCACGATCTTGGCTCACTGCAACCTCTGCCTCCTGGTTTCAAGCAATTCTCCTGCCTCAGCCTCCTGAGTAGCTGGGACTACAGGTGTGTGCCACCATACCCGGCTAATTTTTTGTATTTCTAGTACAGATGGGGTTTCACTGTGTGGGCCAGGTTGGTCTCAAACTCCTGACCTTGTGATCCACCTGCCTCAGCCTCCTAAAGTGCTAGGATTACAGGAGTGAGCCACCATGCCCGGCTTACATTTTGCTTTTATTTTTTTTGAGACAGAGTCTCGCTTTGTCACGCAGACTAGAGTGCAGTAGTGCAATCTCAGCTCACTGCAACCTTTGCCTCCCAGGTTCAAGCAATTCTCCTGCCTCAACCTCCCAAGTAGTTGGGACTACAGGCGCATGCCACCATGCCTGGCTAATTTTTTTGTATTTTTAGTAGAGACAGGGTTTCACTGTATTAGCCAGGATGGTCTCAATCTCCTGACCTCGTGATCCGCCTGCCTTGTCCTCCCAAAGTGCTGGGATTACAGGCGTGAGCCACCGCACCCCGCCTGCATTTTGATTTTAATGTCTTACTGTTAATGATCATGCACCAAATTCCCATGCTGTTAGTATTTTTCTCAGAATGACAAAGGAATTGAAATGCCATTGTGGAACAAAATTAAACATTGTCAAACAAAATTAAACACTGCTCTAAGCCAGTCTACGGACTAGGTAGATAAGTTGGGAGATAATGAAGTAGGCTCTTGTTGGAGACAGAGCAGACCAAACCAAACAGAAAATGAATTTGTCAGGCCAGGCACATCACTGCACTTTGGTAGGCCGAGGCGGGCGGATCTCCTGAGGTCAGGAGTTTGAGACCAGGCTGAATGAACATGGAGAAACTCTCTCTCTACTAAAAATATATATTAAAAAAACCTCGTGATCTCTTAACCTTGTGATCTGCCCGCCTCAGCCTCCCAAAGTACTGGGATAACAGGCGTGAGTCACTGCGCCTGGCCCGTGTCTCAGTTTTCAAGTAATGAAGGTGAATTCAACTGGTAAATGTAGCTTTATATTAAATAATGATTAAGGAAAGAAAAAATAACATTTGGCCCTCTGTTTCTGTGGGGTTTGCATCCATGAATTCAGCCAACTATGGATTGAAACTATTCAGGAAAAAATATATATAGATTGTGGCTGGGCACCATGGTTCATGCTTGTAATCCCAGAGCTTTGGGAGGCGAAGGTGGGCAGATCACCTGAGGTCGGGAGTTCAAGACCAGCCCGGCCTACAAGGTGAAACCCCATTTCTACTAAAAATGCAAAAATTAACCCAGTGTGATGGCATGCACCTGTAATTCCAGCTATTCAGGAGGCTAAGGTGGGAGAGTCGCTTGAGCCTGGGAGGTGGAGGTTGCAATGAGTCGAGATTGCTCAACTGCACTCCAATCTGGGCGACAGAGCAGCGAGACTCTGTCTCAGAAAATAAATGATTTAAATAAACAATATTAGAGGTATGGGCAAGTTATATGCAAATATTATACCATTTTATGTAAGAGACTTGAGCATTGGCAGATTTTGGTATCCACACGGATTTCTTGCACCAACCCACGGTGGATACTCAGGGACAACTGTGTATACGGTATACACCTTGGTGTGTATTCTAATCATCTGGTAAGCTTGTGAAATGTAGGTTCACCCCCTGGATATTTAAATCCTGGAAAGTCTGGGGTAGGGTCCAGGAGTCTTCATTTTCAGCAGCAGGGTTCCTAAATAATTCTCTTAGAGGTAACCTGAAGACTTCTTTGAGGAGCATTGGTGTCTCAGAGGGTGTCTAAACCTGACAAATACCATCTAAATCTAGTTGGCTGAGCCGGGCGCGGTGGCACACACCTGTAATCCGAGCACTTTGGGAGGCTGTGGTAAGCGGATCACCTGAGGTCGGGAGTTTGAGACCAGCCTGACCAACATGGAAGAAACCCCATCTCTGCTAAAAATAAAAAAGCCGGGCATGGTGGCTCGTCCCTGTAATCCTAGCTACTTGGGAGGCTGAGGCAGGAGAATCGCTTGAACATGGGAGGCAGAGGTTGTGGTGAGCCGAGATCACGCCGTTGCACTTCAGCCTGGGCAACAAGAGCAAAACTCTGTCTCAAAAATAAATAAATAAATAAAATTCTAGTTGGCTGAAGAGTTATGGCAAGGAAAAACTATTTTGATATAGCACAGTTTGTGATAAAAGTGATAAACGGAGATAACTGAGAAAGTATTAAGGAAAGAGATTAGTTAACACTCACTGAGGTAGGGAGGAGAGGCAGATGTCTGATTTTATGTTAAACTTGAGGAATATATCTTTCATTTGATTGCCTTTTGTTTTAGATACCTCATAATGCTATAT